CCGTGACCTCGGAATAAGAATGAAACAGACTCATATTAGCATAGATGTCATTCTTCTTACAATGTAGCAAGTACATCGGGTGTTATGGGAAGTGTTCCCGTTTCCGGTTGACCTAATTAATGCAGCCTAACAGTCCTTTAAAGGATTTGAATTATAGAAATGTGATAGTGTGTTATGTGTAAGCCAGGTTAAAGAGATGGGTCTTTAAACTAGATTTAAACTGACAGAGTGTGTCTGCCTCCCAAATAACTCTAGGAAGACTGTTCCAGAGTTTGGGCGATAAATAGGAAAAGGATCTGCCGCCCGCAGTTGATTTTGATATTCTAGGTATTATCAAATGGCCAGAGTTTTGAGATATAGGAAAAGGATCTGCCGCCCGCAGTTGATTTTGATATTCTAGGTATTATCAAATGGCCAGAGCTTTGAGATCACAGCAGACATGAAGGACTATAATTCAATAAGTGCTCGCTCAAGTACTGAGGTAAAACCATTCAGGGCTTTATAAGTAACTAATACGATTTTAAAATGTATACGATGTGTATGTATACAAAATGCATATGGCTGGTTATCTAGTTTTACCAGTTAAGATTTGCTTGAGACCAGTACGGCCATAGTGGTACACTAGCTGGATCATGCTAATGTAAACTGGTCTTTTTTGCAGTGAATGTAGCTTCTAATGTGGGGAAATTATTTTTAATTCATTATTATTCTTGACAGACAAGAACATTTGTTGTGTGGTTTCAGAGAAGGGCAGAACTGCCGGTCTACTTGGTTACTGGGATGGGATGAGAATGTTTCTAGATTTACTTGTCATGGGATACTGAATTATTCATAAATGCTTCACACAGTGTATGGATTCAAGCAAAGAAGCACTCTCTGAATTAATGTTTTATGCTTAACTAGCCAACTAGTGATCTGTTGACTTATGTTTGTTGGCTTTTATGATGGTTAGGCTGGCAAAGTTTTAGTTGCAGGTTATTTTGGCAGGTATTTAACATTTTATTGTTTATAATTTATAAAATGATTCAGAACATACAAACCTGATTTTCAAATGATAGGCATTAGTTTATGAAATGCCTAATAGTAATTTACATTGTACCATGAGGAGTCTGCACATTATATGACATGTCCCAAATGACTATTGATTTCTTGGAAGAGAAAGATTAATTTACACACATAATACAAATAATAGTTCACATACATGAACTAAAACACACAAACACACAAAATCAACAGTTTTAATTTCATGGACTCTTTAATCACAATGTTTATCAACTTAATCGTTTGGTTGAACATAGTAAACTTGCACACCCACCTGAGAGGTAGCATTACTTAAAAGAAGTGTTACTAGAGTAGCTACATTTCTCATAAAGCAAAATCTCCCTGAGCACAGACCTAACTCTCCAGAGTGTTATCCTAAGATGACTTCTCTATATAGAGATCACAGAGATCAGCCCCCTGTCTAACAACACAGCCTTTGTTTGCATTTGTTTGAGCGTGCTTATAGGTGGCCAGACATCCTGTGTCCTGTTCCTGACGATGGGCTGTTCCCAGTTTTACAGCACATTCAAACCGCCTTGCAAATACAATCCTACCAACATAGTCTCATGGTTGTCAGAGCAAATTATTTTCACCAACTGAGGGGGCTGCAAGCTACATTGATTATATGGTCAAGCACCACTCTTTTAGCCACAAACTTACTATTTACTATTTACAATTACTATTTTTTCTGGTGTGATCTTTTTTGTGAGTTGTATTAAAAAAATGCACAATGTACTTTTGTAAACTTTTTTGCACATAAACACACTCACTAAAATAATTTTCTCTCAGAAGCTCTGCATTGGGTTTACATCTATATACTCAGCTCACTAAAGGTGCTGTGCAGTTCATCACTCATCATTTGCTGTTTATTGCAAATTTGAGTGCCTGCAGTCTTTCTGCTGAGGTCTTTCTGGGTTTGAATCAGCTCTCTCTCTCTTGTTTGCAGCTTGTTCAGAACTCAGCTGTCAGACTTTTAACAAGTACAAAGGGGAGAGAGCATATTACTCCTGTGTTAATCAAACTGCATTGGTTACCTGTACGATACAGAATTCATTTCAAACCATTGCTGTATGTTAGTTTGAGTTGAGTTGAGTTGAGAGGTATTAATGTAACTTTTTTAGCTCCTTACAAATCTATACTTGCATTAACCTCTAGACTTCTAGCCTTGTGCATTTCAGCCCGTTTTTTAAACTGTTTATATTAAGTATGTTGTTCATGATGGACATTTCTATGGAACAGAATACTCCAAAATCCACCTTTACCTACATCCACATTTATTTACTTTCAGTGATGTAATGTTCAGGACGTTATACTACAGACTATAGTGATTCAGAGATAAACAATTTTAAAATGTTGACAATATTCAAGAAACAGCTGAAAACTAATATCTTTTGTGAGCACTTAACGTCTCAGTTACGTATTGTAAACCTTGTTCCCTTAGGAGGAAACGGAGACGTCACGTCGGTGACCAACGAATTGGGAATCTCGCCAGAGAGACCAATCTACTTCGAGTGTAAACTAAACGAGCCAATGCACATTGGCATGCGATTATTGCATCCAGCTGCCGCTGATCACAGCGTGAGTATAAGTAGGCAGCCTGTGCAGCGCCATTGGCATGCGATGACTGCATCCAGCTGCCGATGATCGCAGCGTGAGTATAAATAGGCAGCAGATGCACCGCATATTAGGTTTTCGCTGAGGAGCCGAGCCGGTGACCCGGACACTCAGCGGTGGTACAGCAGCTGTGGCGATGGGACGTGACGTCTCCGTTCCCTCCTTCAGGGAAGGAAGGTTACAATATGTAACCAAGACGTTCCCTTTCAGTCAGTCACTTTCGATGTCACGTCGATGACTGATGAATTGGGAATCCCTACCAAAGCGCCACGGATGCTGCCCCTTCCAGTGTCCTGTGCGAGCCTCCTGTGCCCCCTTTTTGGAGTAGGCCGGGGCTCGCAACAAGAATACCAGTCATTGTTGCTGTAGCACTACCCACTCAGTGAGATTGGATAACACTGGGAAAACGTACCCATTCTACTTGGAACAGGGACGTTACGGAAGCTCCAACCTTCCCGAAGGAGGTTTCGGAAGACTCCTGCTCGAAGAAACGCGAGGTCTGACCACGGGGTGAAGGTTTGGCGGCAGGCCGGTGTGACCTTGTACTGATATGCTCGTCCTTCGAACATGAACCACAGAAAGGGTCTGTGGCACGGAAGGATGAAGACATGAAAGTACGCGTCCTTTAGATCAATCGCTGCAAACCAATCTCGGGGATGGATGCACCCAAAGATGCGTTTCTGCATTAACTTCTTGAACTGTAGCCTGTGAAGGGCCCGGTTCAAGACACGCAGGTCCAAGATCGGTCATAACCCACTGCCTTTCTTGGGTACAATGAAGTAGGGGCTGTAAAACCCCGTCTTCATATCGGCTGGAGGGATCGGCTGGATCTCGTCCTTCGCCAGCAGGACTGCGATCTCCGCACGCAAGACAGGGGCATCGGCTGCCTTAACTGATGTGAAGTGGATGCCGCTGAACTTGGGGGGACACCGGGCAAACTGAACCGCACAGCCGAGTCTGATGGTCCAAAGGAGCCAGCAAAATGGGCTGGGCAGCGCTAGCCAGGCTTCCAGATACCATACAAGTGGGACCAGCGGAACCACCGACATACCCGCAGTGGGGCAGCTTGTGGGCCAACTGAAGCGGAGTCTGAGTGTGCGGTGCAACACTTACCTGGTTCCATGGTTGGGCAGAGGGTGCGTGAGTAGGGCCTTCGTTGACTCTCTCCAGTGCTTGAGCCTGGTGGATCTGCAGTAACGCCATGGCATGTAAGGCAGAGGCAGCCTCTCCACATGCAACATAAGCACTGCCAGTCAGACCAGGAGCGAGGGACCCTCGGAGGTTGGTTCCTCAGAGGGGTTGCCGCCACTGTGATCCTCAGACCGCCCGAGCTTCTGTCTGAAGTAGTCCTCCCCTGACTTCTGCCAAGAAGAGAACTAGATTGAGACAGAGGCACCGGAACTCCACCCCTTTTGAGGTAATAGAGCCTGGCCCGAAACTCTGAGATGGTCATCTTCCCCGATGAGAACATGACTCATCCACGAACACAACCTCAGCGTGCTTGATGCCCAGGCACGTGAGGCAGCGATCGTGACCATCACCCACCGCCAGGTAACGACCACATCCAGAAACGCACGGGTGAAACTGCATCTATACCAAGACGCAACGTCGTCTTTACAAAGATGCAGCGTTGAGTTGGCACAGACGCAACATCGTCTTTAAAAAGACGTGCCCACCCGTGAATGCTCTTTTAGGGAAAAAAGGCTCTTTTAGCGTGCTGAAGCGCACAGGGGAAATGGCCGCCTGCAACACAAACAAGGGGTAGTGCAGCCTGATGTGTGCAACCCACTCGACACGGGAAAAACGACTGTAGCACCATTCTGCCAACACAAGAAGCTCCCAGAGAGCATGCTGAACTCGTCCGTTCACTCAAAGCTTGGCAGGAGCAAAACGATGATATCGCTCGGCTCCGAAGCGAAAAGCTAATATGCAGTGCATCTGCTGCCTATTTATACTCTCGCTGCGATCAGTGGCAGATGGATGCAATCATTGCATGCCAATATGCATTGGATGCAAGTGTAAACCAATTAGAAGACCAATTTGTCATTCACCGCCGTGACATCGAAAGTGACCGACTGAAAGGGAACTGTATCCTGCTGAATTAAAAAAAATGCTTTCACTATTTCTTATATCCCTCCCTGTTCTGGCTTGTACCATCCTGTAAGATATTTGAAACTTCTAAGCACGTATTGCTAAGCACTTGTGTTATTGTCTCCTTAAGATGAATCACTTGTTGTATTCCGAATTTGTAAGTTGTTTTGAATAAAAGCATCTGCTAAATTAATAAATGTAAACAAAAATATGTTAACCTGTACTAATGATGTAATTTTCCTATTTTTTTCTAGTCGGACAGCAACACCAGTTTCCTTCGAGCAGCAAGAGCAGGAAATATTGACAAGGTTCTGGAGTATTTGAAGGGCAGAGTAGACATCAGCTCTTGTAATCAGGTTGGTGTCCCTTTCTTATATGGGGCTTTTCCACTGCATGGTACAGCACGGCACGGCTCGCTTTTGGGGGGTTTTCCACTGTGTACAGTACCTGGTACCTGGTACTTTTTTCAGTACCACCTCGGCTGAGGTTCCAAGCAAGCCATACCGTTACCAAAATGTGACGTGTAAACCCTGCTGATCACTTATTTAACGGAGAGAATCGTCACTACCTGCATCACTGAACTTGCGGTACATGACACTAGACCCGCTAGATTAAATCATCACAGTCAGTGAGGATCGAATGCAACTTTTTTTGAACAGTTTCAAATGAGCACACCTTTTTTTAAACAACAAAATAATGACTGTTTCGTGGTCTGTTGAGGAAGTGCAGACATTCCTCTCGTTGATAGCCGAGGAGCGGATCCAGCGAGAACTTGATGGGACGACACGGAATGAAAAAGTTTTTCAGGAGTTCGCGGCAATAGAGGTGGTGCAACTATAACGACATGTCTATAATCCCGCCCACTCTAAAGCGGTACTAAACTGCAATGGAAACGCCGTACCATGCAGTGGAAAAGCACCAGTAGATACTCAATAAAATATTTGTATATTATGTCAAATATGTGTATAGCTTTCCTACTGGAATTTCTAACAAAATGTGGAACAGGTTCAGATCCTGAATGGATTTTTTGGGGGTTCTAAAGGGGTGCTTTAGAATTCTGGTAAAACTGGCAACTAGGGATGGGCGATATGGGCTTAAAAATATATCACGATAATTTCTGATAGTTCACGTCCGCCTTCCTTCACGTCTCTCCACACAGTCGCACACAGAAATATGTCAACAACTAGACATTATCGTTATTATCGCGGGAAGACGAATTCTTATCGTGTGGAGAATTTTTACCGGTATATCGCAAACGATAAGATATCGCCCATCCCTACTGGCAACTTCAAAAGGCACTTTGGAATGAAAGATTTTGAAGGGAACAACTTATGGACACTTGGCTTCCATGATTGTTTGGCAAGTTTAATTGTATGACAACGGCGCCTCTTTAACTGGCTCTGCAAGATGACGCAGAAATGAGTTCTAAGGAACAGTTTTTTTGTCCCCTACACCCTTCATTCCTTTCGAAACTCTTACTCTGAAGGGCAAACCATTCGAAGGGATGAGCCCTTCAGAATAGAATGCAGCATCAGTCATTCATTCAACCAATTAGTTCAAACTGCTGATTCATTCAAGAACAAAGCAATTGACTGTCTTAAAGAATGGGTCACTGAATCATTGGCTCAATCGATTTGTTCAAAAACGTGGATTCATTCCGTAACAAAACACAGCTGTGTGTTGCTTGGAAAGAAGCAAAAACATAATACTGACAAGACTGTGTCTAAAACACAATATACGTTTGTTTAGTGAACTGTTTTCTAAAAACAATATTACATTTGCAGTCGTGCAGATATTTGGGTAAAAACTAGAGCCCGACCGATATATCGTTTTGCCGATTTTGTCGGCCGATATGAGCCTGTCGCAGATATATCGGTATCGGCGAATATGCCACTGATATGACATTTTTTTACAGAACATAAAACACAGATAAAATGTTTGTAAATGGTGTAATTACGTAGTTTGTTTGCATTGTTTGCTACTGGCGACCTGGATGAAACGCTTTAAAGCTTAAAGGGTTAGTTCAGCCAAAAATAAAAATTAGGCTGTGTTTTACTCACCCCCGATGCATCCTAGGTGTATATGACTTTCTTCTTTCAGATGAATCCAGTCGGAGTTATATAAAAAATTGTCTTTGATCTTTCAAGCTCTATCGTTGTACTCAGCGGGTGTTGCATTCCTTCAGTCCAAAAGACGTGAAATAAATAAGCAACCTTCCACAAAAAAAGTGTCTCTCACTGTTGTAAACGGAAGCAGTTCCGGGGGAATTACGTATGTGGTCAGCTTTGCGCATGCGCTGCTCAGAAGTGACGCACGCGGAGAGATCGAAACAAAACAACGGTCACTAATTAGAAGTACAAAAGGAGGATTTGTAAAGAAGAATGTCGGAGGATTTCGATATAAGCCAAGAGGAGACTTGTTTTCCTTTGCTAAAGTAAGTAGCGCAAATCCATGAATGAATGTTCCGAAGTAAAAATAAACTTCAACGGAATAAAGTTGAATGGAATTGAATTGAAATAAAGTTGAAAAAAGCTTCAACTTTACTGTTCAGTGCACTGATGTCAGACTTATTTTGGATAATAAAGTTTATTGTTAAATTGTTAAATGCCCTGCCTCTGTTACATATCTTTGTCACGTCATTATAAGTGTTTGATCACCACATTTGAGTGATCATTGCAAAAAAATGTGTTTATGTATATATATATATATATATATATATGCTGTTTATGTATATACTGTATTCTATATATAGTACCAGTCAAAAGTTTGGACACACAAATGGGAAAGTGTACAAACTTTTGACTGGTACTGTACTATAATATACACAAAGAATATCGGCCAATATATATCAATTATCTATCGCCTTTTTTTACTCCCTAATCGGTATCGGTATCGGCCCCCAAAAACCCATATCGTCGGGCTCTAGTAAAAACAGCACTCTTGCTTGTGTGATATTTCTAAACTTTATCCTATGATATGAAATACAAGACAAAAACTCATAAGGGGCATTTTTTGCCATTATGTCTTGCATTCTAATAGGCTACATCATGGAACTCCGCACACTGAGCAAACTAGTCATCATCATGTTTGTTTGTCAGCAACTGCATGAAATGTAAGATGATGTACAGGTCTGGGCCAAGGCAGGGTGCATTAAATGAGTATCCTATCTGTCGGTCACTACGAGTTATGTCGTGACGACATTACACTCTAAAAACTGCTGGGTTAAAAACAACCCAATTTGTTGGGCTATATGTTTGACCCAGCATGCTGGGTTGCTTTTTTATGGTTTAAGATTACTACATTGCTAGGCTAAAATGAACCCAAATCGAGCTAGACATTAAACCTACAAATCTTTACACACACAGAATGACTATCACAAGGTAAATACTTATTAAAAACAAGAAGATAAAACAGTCAAAATTAACATGCATATAAGAACAAATGCGGAAAAGTATGGCATTAACATCTACAGAGTTTATAAATGAAAAATTAAACATTTGTTGAATATAACTTTTAATATCAAATTTGACTTTTTTTGGCAAATTTTATACATTGTATAAAAATATTATACAAAAAACACTATTATACAATAATTGCACAATTAGTTAATAGTTAAGCTCTTTACAAACTATTCTGGCATGACAGTAAATAAACCACAACATTAACACTTATATTATAACATTTATCAGAAACATATGTGTGAAAATATGTGAGCATGTGTATGAATGACAGAGTGTAAACTCCATTTCTACTAAGCAACACAGAACAAGCATTTAACATTTTGTTTTTACAAATTATACACTTACAGTTTGTTTCATAGTCCATGAAAACAGATCATGCATCACTGCCAATTTTCATGAATGATTTAGGATAATTGATGTAGTCATGAAGAAGCCCCATCAGCACAGCATGTGACATCTTTTACATCATTCAGGGCAGTGTAGGATCTCATTTGAACAGAACAGCACATTCCTTAGCAGAAGTTGAGTCTATTCTCAACCATGTGCGAGTCGTAAAGCTGAACCGTGGTCAGCTCAGGCTGATTTACAAAACGACCTCCTGGGTCTGCAAGCACTGAGACAGCAATAACTGACCCCTGCATCTGGACTCATGTAAACAACAGAACAAAGAACGTTGCATCTGGAAATGTTCCAGCGACAGACACTCCTGGACCCCATGACCGTTTAACGCATAAATTGATAATCTCATCAGTAGAAAGCGACAGATTTACAGCTCCATGTCCGAGCGAGAAGAATAGCAGGTCTACACCGCATGACTTTTGCAACCTCCATTGACCTCAGGACTTTCTCTGCACTGCCTGTTCTTCATCAGTGGCCTAAAAAGAGAAAAAAAAACATTTGAAAAAAGAAAACATTTAATTAAAATCTATCCATTTTCAGATAGAGGTGCATCCACATCTGCAAGGATAGGTAAATGGTCTGTTTTAGAATTTCAACCACTTTGTGTGATTGTTTAATGTCTCTGTCTACCACAGCACTCTAGAATGCTACAATGGCAGCACTAGTGTGAGTGCACGTAATATTGTTTAAATAAATATATTGCTTTCAGAAAGCTACTTCTTTACTGAAACATTAAAACAGACATGACATTCACATACCTCACACATTT